CAACAAGACCTCTAGGTTGAGGTTGCTCATTCTAATTCTTTCTCTCGGCAAGGGAACTGCAGGGAGAAATTTCCAAGTGTCCTGTTTGCCTGAACTTTCTGGAATGGATACCCAGCAACCCTTGCAATGGACCGCCCTTGCAGCTCCACCCAGTCCATCTGATCCTCAGCCTCCAATTAGGTAAGAACTATGCCCCTACACCTCACATTTCTTAACCCTTCTCTGATCTGTTCCTCCCTTAGTCATGCCGACTCTGCATCCAGTTTTCTTCTCCAGGTCACACTATACATCTGAAAGGTGGTGACGTGCATAAGAGAATGCATTGTCAGACCCATTATGCTTTCGACTCTTTAAAATTTTGGCTTTTCCACTTACTTTTAGTCTCTGTGATGGTGGACACCAGGAAATATAGAGAGATGAGGAATCCACCTATTCAGGACACAGACCGCAATAAAAACTTGAAAGGGGTTTTATCCCTCCCTACTCTAGTCAAAACAAGAAAAAAGACCTTATAGGTTTTGATAGACTGATTGTGCCCTGTAGCTCCTTCACACATACTGTAGTTGTGTTCCTGCAGACAGGTAATAACCATTTGCTGAGATTGTTGCAAGCAAAATCAGAAATATCTTTAAAGTATACATGTTTTTCAAACACCTGATTTGGCACAAGTGCTGGAAGCGCAGTTAGCTTTGTTCATTCCATCTAGTGTTTACACTGACCTTTTAAAATGTTAACTGTAGCTGCAAAAAGATAGTACTTCACAGTAAAACATAAGTTACAAGAACAAAAGACGAACAAATGACAACGTACTACTTGTAAAGCAAACAATTGTACCATTTTCTAACTATAAATGGCAATCTGGAATTCAGCACTTCACTAGTGTACATGACAAAAGAGGTATTGTTACATAAGTGCTTGTTCTTGATAACTGTCTCACTTGAATTTGCAAATTGTTCATTTTGAGAACAAATCAGCACTCTAATAAAAGTGATGACATTTTTCAAAAGTGCCCACATTTTTATTATGCATCTGGAAGCACTGATAATGGCTCAGCCTCTCTATTTTTACTAATTACAGTCTAAAGAACTTTTCCTTCTAGCGATGAAATATATCCAGCTCAGGGAAGGGCTTATTCCCTATAATTTGCAGTTCTGTTATCTTTTCCTACTCAGACATCTTATGGGACCATATGTCATCATTAAGAGGTGAAGCTTCCTGTGTAATGGCTAGCATGGGGCATTCCTTTATTATCAGTAGTCTGGTCTTTCTGATATTTGCTGTCCAAGGTCTATAAAGAAAAAAAAAAAACACAGGTTGCATTTATTCACAGTAACCCGTTTTGAAAAATGCATCTGCCACATTCAGATATAAGAATATGAATAGAATTTTGTTTGATCAGTCCAACCCACAAGTGGCTAATTTGTCCATGTTTTAGGCCTCCTTTACAGGGGCATGTACTACGCACATGTGGAGGAGGACAAGGCCTTAAAGTAAAATTCGAGACATTTACGAACTATGCGAAACCCCTTGACGCCAACGTAACACAAATATGTGGCCTCACAGAACTGGGCTTTTTTCTCTGAGGTCACATATTTGCATACCTCTCTTTGTGCTGGCCCTGTGTTTTAGGTAAACAAAAAAACAAAATGTGCACTATTATTTCTGGGCTGTACTACGGGTATAAACAACAAATAATATCCACATATATGGTATCACTGTTATCATCAAGAGCTGGAAAATTTATTTTGGGTTGTTCTTTGGTGGTAGGCTATGGTAGTAAACAAGAAACACACAGCTAAACAAAAAAAAGATTTTTTTTTTTTACTATTTTGGGACAGTTTTCCTTTGATAATAAAAAAAATCAGGAGATATCCATTACCATTTACCACCAAATGAAAGCCCAATTTGTCCTAAAAAAAGGTATAATTCACTTGGATGTACAAAGTAGTTGTAATGATATGTATGGTTTTACTAACACATGTCAAAGTTGCACAATTGTGCTTAGGCATTAAGATTTGTTTTAAAATTTTTATTTTTTAAAAATTGTTTCAATCTCCTTGTATTGGCAATTGAATTGATATAAAATCGCATATTCAGCCCACCTCAAAGAAATGTAATGGGGCTGAATATGTGTTTTTATCTCAATTCAATTGCCAATACAAGGAGATTGAAACAATTTTTTAAAAATACTGGCCTATTATTAGAAAGGACAGAATTCTAGGCCAGATAATACCCGATAAACCGACTTTTATCTACAGAAGAACGAATAATTTACGGGGGGGTTTTAGTACATAACGTTATTTCTCCTCCCAGGAAAAAGAAAAATATGTTCAATTTGCAAGGTTTTTATCCATGTAAAAAATGCTGTATTTGTAAAACAACAGGGACTAGTAGTAGGGTTATATCTAATTTTACCTCCCAGAGTACTGGGGAAAGTTTTAAGAATTTTATTACTTGTAGAACGGCATTCGTAACGTATATTTTAGAATGTTCATGCCACCTACAGTATGTAGGTAGGACATCTAGACCCCTCTATAAAAGACTTAGAGCGCATGTTATCAATATAAGGAAAGGTAAAAAGGACCACTGTTTGTCGAGACATTTCAGGGTTGTACATGATTGTAATCCGAGAGCCCTGAAATTCTGTGGCATTGACTCTATAGATGCCCACTGGAGGGGGGGGGGGGGGAGATAAAATTAAGTTATCACAAAACAAAACATTTTGGATATTTCAGTTACGGACACTCAAACCCAGAGGATTAAATGTTGAGTTAGATCTGAATTGTTTTATCTCTAATTTTTAATTGATTTTTAGGTGTATGGGATGGGTTTATGTGTGGGCGGGTGTGTATGCTAACATACGCATATTTATATAGGGTCAATTAGATTTATCCATGCAATATTTATTTAAATAATAATGAATAGTGTTAGATATGGGGACACTATTAGATTAGTCCTATATCCACTAGCGATATATTCTTATTAAAATATATGAAGGGATACTATGTAATATATCTAGTTTTGAATTTTATTATAATTTTAGTCCTATTGGTATTTTTATTCTATCTCATCCTGTATGCTTTCATATGGGTATTAGTAATTCTGACATTTGAGGGGGTTTTAGATATGGTCTAATATTTATTATTTGTGACTATGTAGTTTTTATAAAATATGTAATTTTATTTAATTTATTGTATTTACTGTTAATGAGTAGAGAGGTTGGATATACACCTTAGGATTCGCTATATAGAAATGTGTCTATTTGATATTTGAGACACTCATCTAAGCTGTACGGCACTATCTAGAGAAGTATGGGCTCGTTTCCCTTATTCAAAATGGCGGCCGGTACTTTGCTAATATTGTGGAGAGACGTTCCAACGTGTCTATCCCTTAAGATTAAGTCCCGGATGTGACGAAACGCGTCAGTGGAAGTGACGTCGGACGTACGGAGCACGAACCGGAAGTGATACGGCGGCCATCTTGGAGTTGGGAGTCGCATTGATATCCACCTGCAAGCTGCTTGGTAATCCCCAGACTGTGGGGTCTTTTCTAAATGCGCTGATTATATTTTATACATGTAAGCAGATTCATTAAAGTTTATTCTATGGTATGATATGGAATTACACTATTATCTCATATATATCCTGCGTGGATTCGAATGACCGGGGAACTGGCTTGTGATACCATGAGGGGATGAGATTATAACCATAACGTCAGGAGTGGAGGCAAGGAGGCTGAGCAGTGTTGCAGACTTCTCTATATTATACCCCACAGCGGTCTTTATATTTTGATTTTGGTAAGGATATATATGCTATATGTATTAGAAGTGATACACCATTGAAGTGGTTACACTGAGTGGAACACATCACTGTTTTGGCACAAGTGTTGCTGTGGTTTCTTTTTTCGCGATTTTTGCACTAATGTTTTTAAACGCACGTGTGGAGTGTTATGTATCAAGTTATTAAGTTAATGCACTATGTTGAGTTTTTGATTTCTTTGAGGGTTTCTGCGGAAGCTGGCCTTTGAGGATTTTAACAGTATAAAGAAGTGATTTCAAATGAGATGTATTCATTTCTCTTTTTTTTTTTTTTGGACTAGAAGACACTGGACACTTATTGATATAGTGTGTATGATCATATGTGTTTGGACATTTATCATTTGGAATGCACGGATTGATTATTATATTTTTCTGAATAGGGGATTTTTTTTCACTAATGGTGGGTTGGATGATTCTTTTGGAGCAATTTTTGATATAAACTAATTTGGCTTATTTTTTTTTTTTTACTGAAAAGATAACGGAATACATTTCGGCCAAGATTTATGATGAAAGATTATTTATTTGCAAAATTTTATAAGAAAAACACTTTTTTTCAAAATTTTTGGATGTTTTCATTTACATAGCAAAAAAAATTAAAATCCCAGCGGTGAATAAATACCACCAAAATAAAGCTTTATCTGTCTCAAAAAAATGGTAAAAAATTCATATGGGTACAGTATTGCATGACCGCGCAATTGTCATTCAAAGTGTGATAGCGCTGAAAGCTGAAAATTGCCCTGGACAGGAAGGGGGTAAAAGTGTCCGGACAGGAAGTGGTTTAAAGAAATAAAAATAGGGTTAGAATCACTTAGCTAAAGTTATTCTTTAAATGTTGTTTAAACATGCAGGCCAATTTTGTAATGTAGCTACTGTTTATCTGCCACAGAGTCTCCATGTCTATTTAGGTATCAGCTCTTTCTGCAATGTAAGCACCGTAAGTTTCTCTTAACAGAATAGTCTTAGTTGTGAATGTGCAAGGCTGTGTGTTACTTATTACTTGGCCGTGTGAACACCAATAGAAGCAGACAGCCATATTGTCATTAAGCTGAACTCTAGGTAGAAATAAAAACACTATTTAATGCAGCCATGTGTTCCTTGAAATATAATTACATTTACTTTTCATACAACAAGCACAAATAGTCTAATCTGTCTTGATATCCGGTACCTGTCATCTCTTGCACAGCAGCACTTAAAATGTTACTAAACCCAGGACCCTGCATTCACTATATCTGGTCTCCCACAGTACACAGAACACGGAAGTGCAATTATTTTAGTAAATATAAACTACTAAATACCTTTTCTCATCAGCAGTTAGAGCAGTCTTGTGACTTCTATCTGTGTCCAGCCAGCTAAAGCTTGTAAGAGGAGTTTTCTTTCTGCTCTTGTAGGATGGAAATTCTCTGACCTCTGTCTGGGCAGTGCTGATTGATCCTGTGCTAATTACATGCACTCTCCCAAGGAAAAAAAAAAAAAAAAAACTCTAGCAATACACACCAAGCTGAGCATGTGCATGCCTGAGGTTCAGTCTGGAGATAAGAAGTGGTCACTTGAAAAAGGGGAGGAACAGAGAAGACAGGATCAAACAGCCTTTTTACAAAATGCAGAGGATTAACCCCATAGGTTTGATTTAGTTGAGGACTAAATTGTCCAGTGCTTATCTGCTCCTGTCCTAATTTATCATTCTAGCTTTGGAATGTGCGCACACTGGAAGAGACTCACGCTGACACACAAATTCAGTCTATGAACACTTCTAGTTTATTATAATGAGAAAGTGAGCTTATATATGCAAAATGATGCGAGAGTCATGTGAGAACAACATAAGCATTTATATTAGTCTTTGATTGGTCATTTCCACAAGAAAACAATCTCCGTCATGGTATAGGTGTGATCTTCTTCCAAGTCTTATCTTATAGAAAGAAAAACATTCCTTTGTCTCAAGTTGGCAGGATGGGAGGGGGAGTCGGTGCGTGTGAGCAAACATTTCTTAAGCAAGGATTTCTTAAAGTACCACAAAGCCCAGCAGGCAGAAAATATTCACACAACATATGTATTCATACTAAACATTTATAAATATGAAGAAAGAAATAGTATTAAAGTATAAAAGTGAATATGTATAAAAATGTGTAGAAAAACGTGTGTATGTGTATATGTATGTGTGTGTATATTATATATATATATATGTATTCAATAGGAAACCAAATAGGCATTTTACCATATCCATCACAGGTTCCACAGTGAGTATAACAAGCATGCTTTACTGCATATACAGACTGATTTTACTGTTGTAGATTTAGTAACACTTTAAGCTGGCCATACACACACAGATTTTCTCCCCATTCATCCTGCCGGCTGAATAGAAAATAATACGTATATTCATCCCTGCATACTACCTAGTGCTGTGAAAATACTCAAAAAATGTCTGCATCTGACTGGATGCTGGCATGGTTAGGTCAACAATGTATAGTGTATGGCCAACTTTAGCTGAGCCACTGAGCAGCAGCATTAAACGCTAATCAGGTTCTTTTGCATACACATGTGCTGACAGAAAACATGCTGACAGAAAACATGCTGACAAGAGGAGAGAACAAAGTGAGCAGAGTTGATACGTTTTTAGGCTGTCGCTGCACCCTGTACCATTTCTATTAGAGCGTGGCTTCTGAGCATGAGGGGATCATGTGACCTTGTTGGGAAGTAGACTGGGAGCATCAGCTACTAGGGGCGCCTTCACTTGGCATTAGTTCACAATGAAAAATTACTTCAGGTGGCATTAACACTTTTAGGCCTGAGAACGTTGGAGTAAACCACCCTTACAGAAGGACAGTGTCTTTTCTTCCTTCTTCCAACCAGTAACCTGCCGTGACATATAAACTACAAAGCTTACTCAGGGTGGTCTCCTGCAGCGGCAAGGTGTGCTCTTTGGCAGAGTAGAAATAGTAGCTGGACAGAATTGCAAACTCTTTAGTAGATATCACACAAATTACACTCCAAATTGTGTGAATATTCCCTTTAACCGCCTCCCGCCCACTATATAGTAAAATGACGGACGCAAGGCGGTTCTCTTGTTCTGGGAGGATGTCATATGACATCCTCCCATTCTAACCGTGCATGCACGGCTCCTGGAGCGTGGCGATCCGCAGTGCACACAGCGGATCCATGGAAAGAGCCGAAGATGTTGGCTCGGTCATGTGATCAGATGTGTCCATTTACAGCTGATCACATGTAAACAGGGAAATGCCGGTTATCTGCATTTCTCTCCCCATAAGCTGTCACGCTGACAGCTCGTGAGGAAAGGAGAACCGGTAATCGGCATTCCTCGGAGGGGACATGTACACAGATCATCAGAGCACTGATGATCAGTGTGCCCTGATGATCTGTGTAGCCCCAGCAGTGCCACCTGTCAGTGTCCATCAGTGCCAGCTCTCAGTACTCATCCATGCCACCTGCCAGTGCCCATCAGTGCCACATCAATGCCACATCAGTGCCCATCTGAGCTGCTTTTCAGTGTCACCCATCAGTGCCAGTCAGTGCCACCTATCAATGCCAGTCAGTGCCACCTATCAGTGCCAGTCAGTGCCACCTATCAGTGCCAGTCAGTGCCGTCTATCAGTGTGCATCAGTGCCGTCTATCAGTGCCAGTCAGTGCCACCTATCAGTGCCGCCTGTCAGTGCTATTTGAGTGCTGCATTTCAGTGCCCATCAGTGATGCCTGTCAATGCCCGTCAGTGCCACCTACCAATGCCTCCTCATCAGTGTCCATCAGTGCCACCTATCAGTGTTCATCAGTGCAGCCTATCAGTGCAGCCTCATTAGTGCACATCAGTGAAGGAGAAAAATCACTTATTTACAAAATTTTATAACAAAAACTAAGAAAAAACTTTTTTTTTTAAAGTTTGGTCTGTTTAACAAAAAATAAAAAACCCAGAGGTAATTAAATACCACCAAAATAAAGCTCTATCTGTCACAAAAAAATGATACAAATTTCATATGGGTACAGTGTTGCATGACCGCGCAATTGTCACTCAAATTGCGACAGCGCTGAAAGCTGGAAATTGGCATGGGCAGGAAGGGGGTATAAGTGCCCTGTAGGCTAGTGGTTAACCACTTGAGGTCCTGAGGATTTACCCCCTTAATGACCAGGCCTTTTTTTGCTGTTTGGCGCTGCACTAATTCAAATGATAATTGCGCGGTCATGCAATGCTGTACCCAAACAAAATTTACGTCCTTCTTCACACAAATAGAGCTTTCTTTTGATGGTATTTTATCATCTGTGCGCTTTTTATTTTTTGCGCTATAAACAAAAAAAACACAAACATTTTGAAAAAAAAACAATATTTTCTACTTTCAGTTATAAAAAATATATCGTAAACTCAAAGTTAGTCATAAATTTAAGCCAAAATGTATTCTGCTACATGTTTTTGGTAAAAAAAATCCAGTGCATTAGCGGGCAAACTGGCGCTATATGGGAGGGGCGCTAACACTATCGGAAGTCACCAGTGACACTAATACAGTGATCAGTAAAAATCTGTTTACTGTAATCAATGACACTGGTGACAGGGCAGTGAAGGGGTTAACTGGGGGGGGGGGGTGTGGGGCGATCAAGGGGTTAAATGGGATTACTGGTGTACTGGCGGGCAAACTGGCGCTATCTGGGAGGGGCGCTAACACTATTGGAAGTCACCAGCGACACTGATACAGTGATCAGTAAAAATCTGTTGTAAAAATAGGTATAAGTGAGCGCTAAAGATAACAAAGCTGCTGAACACAAAAGGTACCAAAAAAAACCTCCAGAAACTCACATATAAAAAAGGTGCAGCGCTTATCTATTAAAACATGCAAGATATCAAAAATGCAAGAGTGTATCCCTGCAAAACGCAGGCAGGGTATAGTTATTATACTGCCCCTTATAGTCTCAAATAACACACAGATGTATAGTTCACAATCTCCCAGTGGGTAGGGTGAGGTGAAAGATCAGATAGATCTCTATTGACACACGGTGATAGCCAAAAAGGTGATGTATGGTGATATCCAAAACTGGTAAAAGATTGTGCACTCACCAGATGCACAACCAATATGCGCATGTAAGAGATAACCCCTCTCAAGGTATGGTTCCAAGACTCATCAAAGGCAAGGTCTGGTCAAACTTTACGATGTGGACCCTCAGCTGTCATGCATGGCTCTGTCCCTTATAGCTCTTTACTCTGCAGGTAATTGGAAGCTCACCAGAGAGCCCCAGAAAGAAACAAGGAGGCCAGAATAGCGTGATACCGCTTAAGCATGCGTGCGTTTATTTCATCCAGCAACAGGGTATAATAAAAACAATACTGACCAGACAATAAAGTTGGCCGCCGGGACCCCAGAGCATACCCCCTATGAGTAAGTGCGGTTGCACGAAACGCGTCAGTGTGGAACTGTGGCACAGTGACGTTTACCACCGCCGGCACCATTGGGGTCCCGGCGGCCAACTTTATTGTCTGGTCAGTATTGTTTTTATTATACCACCTCCGGTCATTCAAGAGAGACAGACCTGTCTGTATTAGGGACAGAGTTAGGGCCAGAGAGACTTTAGGGCCACAGAATCGTTACTTAGGGACACAGAATCGTTACTTAGGGACACAGAATTGTTACTCAGGGACACAGAATTGTTACTCAGGGACAGACACAGAATTGCTACTCAGGGACACAGAATTTTTACTCAGGGACACAGAATTGTTACTGAGGGACACAGAATCGTTACTGAGGGACACAGAATTGTTACTCAGGGACACAGAATTGTTACTCAGGGACACAGAATTGTTACTCAGGGACAGACACAGAATTGTTACTCAGGGACACAGAATTGTTACTCAGGGACACAGAATCGTTACTCAGGGACACAGAATTGTTACTCAGGGACACAGAATTGTTACTGAGGGACACAGAATCGTTACTCAGGGACACAGAATCGTTACTCAGGGACACAGAATTGTTACTGAGGGACACAGAATCGTTACTCAGGGACACAGAATCGTTACTCAGGGACACAGAATAGTTACTCAGGGACACAGAATTGTTACTCAGGGACACAGAATCGTTACTCAGGGACACAGAATTGTTACTGAGGGACACAGAATCGTTACTGAGGGACACAGAATTGTTACTCAGGGACACAGAATTGTTACTCAGGGACACAGAATCGTTACTCAGGGACACAGAATTGTTACTCAGGGACACAGAATTGTTACTCAGGGACACAGAATCGTTACTCAGGGACACAGAATCGTTACTGATGGACACAGAATCGTTACTGAGGGACACAGAATTGTTACTCAGGGACACAGAATTGTTACTCAGGGACACAGAATTGTTACTCAGGGACAGACACAGAATTGTTACTCAGGGACACAGAATTGTTACTCAGGGACACAGAATTGTTACTGAGGGACACAGAATCGTTACTCAGGGACACAGAATCGTTACTCAGGGACACAGAATCGTTACTCAGGGACACAGAATCGTTGAATTAAAGAGTATGTCAGACAACACGCAGAGGAGTGGCAGAGGAGGCAATGTTTCAGGAGCGAGCAGACAGACGTGACAGCAGAGGAAGGGGTCGAGGCAGCACTAGTCGCAGCCAGAGGCCAGTGCTCCCGGTGTCATCCAGTGGTCGTGTCTCCACCGACAACCCTGCCGTCATCGATTGGTTGGCTCGGTCGTCTTCCTCTTCCCAGGTCACCTCTGACACCTACAGCCAACGGTCGGTGGGTACGTCAGACATAACCGTTAGTTGGCATGGCCCGGGAGCAAGCCCACTGAAATCACGTGTCCTCTACCTGCCCCTGTCCTTTGGTGTTCCCTCACCAAGCGAAGTATCGAATGCTGTGGGCTCAGCCCCACTGTACAGTGAGGAAGAGCTAACAGAGGGCGGTCAGGAACGGGGGGAGACATCCGCCTCTTCAGCAGCCAGGCGAAGAAGTACTGGCGAGGAGAGTGGCTCGGTAGCCGGTCTAGAGACAGGTCTGTCTCTTGACCCACACGCAGCCAAGGGGGCTAGTAGTGAGGCGGAGACCCTAATTGATGATGATGAGGCTGATCGCACTTGGCAGCCTCGTCGTCATCTGCCAGGCCCGTAATCTGCCATGGGCCCCCGTACCGACTCCTCATGCTGCTGCCAGGCCCGTAATCTGTCATGGGCCCCTGTACCGCCTCCTCATGCTGCTGCCAGGTCCAGAGTGTGTCATGGGTCCCTGTACGGCCTCCCATTGCTGCTGTCTCCATCGCCACACTCTGCCATGTGCCACTTTCAGGTCTCCTCACACTGCTGGTGGGTTCCATTTTGTCATAGGGTGCTGGCAGATTACGGGCCTCCCATTGCTGCTGCCAGGCCCGTAATCTGTCATGGGCCCCTGTACTGCCTCCTCATGCTGCTGCCAGGTCCAGAGTGTCTCATGGGTCCCTGTACGGCCTCCCATTGCTGCTGTCTCCATCGCCACACTCTGCCATGTGCCATTTTCAGGTCTCCTCACACTGCTGGTGGGTTCCATTTTGTCATAGGGTGCTGGCAGATTACGGGCCTCCCATTGCTGCTGCCAGGCCCGTAATCTGTCATGGGCCCCTGTACCGCCTCCTCATGCTGCTGCCAGGTCCAGAGTGTGTCATGGGTCCCTGTACGGCCTCCCATTGCTGCTGTCTCCATCGCCACACTCTGCCATGTGCCACTTTCAGGTCTCCTCACACTGCTGTTGGGTTCCATTTTGTCATAGGGTGCTGGCAGATTACGGGCCTCCCATTGCTGCTGCCAGGCCCGTAATCTGTCATGGGCCCCTGTACCGCCTCCTCATGCTGCTGCCAGGTCCAGAGTGTGTCATGGGTCCCTGTACGGCCTCCCATTGCTGCTGTCTCCATCGCCACACTCTGCTATGTGCCACTTTCAGGTCTCCTCACACTGCTGGTGGGTTCCATTTTGTCATAGGTTGCTGTATGGCCTCCCATTGCTGCTGCCTCCACCGCCACACTGTGGCTCCACACTCTAGTTTTGGCCCCGTGACTGCCCAAATGAGTGAAGTGTGCGGTGATTCTAAGATCGACGGCACTCATCTGCATGTCATACTGACTGACAGTATTATTTCTCTTCCCCAGCAGACTCCAAGGGCATTTAAATTAAAGGTACAGTGTTCTGCACTAATATAAAGGCTCTCTGAAGCCTAGAAACACCCTTTTTATAAGTTAAATTCGCAGCGAATATATTCGACTCGAATCGAATTTATTCTGCGAATTCGCCGAATCAGCCGAATCGAATTTTTGAATAATTTGCTCATCTCTAATTAAGGGGTTAAACAGGATTACTGGTGTACTGGCGGGCAAACTGGCACTATCTGGAAGGGGCGCTAACACTATCGGAAGTCGCCAGCGACACTGATACAGTGATCAGTAAAAATCGATTCACTGATCAGTGACACTGGTGACAGGGCAGTGAAAGGGTTAACTGGGGGCGATCAGGGGGGTTAAATGTGTCCTAGATGTGTTCTAACTGTGGGTATGTGCTGTTTTAACTCACTGTTAGTATGTCTTCTTCTCTGTCTGGAACGGAATGTGTCCAGGCAGAGAAGAATGACATC